TGCTGCTGGTGAGGGAGACTGCCAGGACCATCACCCTGAATCTCATGCTGTTGCTCAGGAGGGTGGTTGACTGACTAACTTCTCTCCCTGGTGCTCCATCTGTCACTAGGGAGGGAGGTCGACCTTTATAGCCTTATATTTTGTTGACATTTTAAATATTACCTTTTTTTTTTTTTTTTTTTGTGAACTGCATCCTCCTCCTATCCACAGGTGGTGTAGCAATAATAGTTGGGCAATGTGTCTTGTCTTGCGCCAGTGATCTGTTTTGTTTGAATAGTCCTGTATATAGGAGATTGTGCATACATTTATGTTCCACTGTGTCGGGACACAGTCATTGAAGATTTGTGAAAGAAAGGCTCTCCTCCTGTCTCCCTTATTATAACGGCTCCATTGTTCCCTCTTGTTTCACTATCTTCTTGCAGTCAATAAATCTTCTGTTCAAGACTTTGACTAGCTCCTTGTGACAACCATGGCTAAACTATCCCGTTCTGACCGAACACTGGTATTTATCTATTCCAAAAAGTTTCATCTCATGCTGAATGATAAAGGGCTAACCAGGGCTATATTTTCAGAATTGGGTCACCTTTTACTCTTTCTCAGAATCATCATGAGTGACACTACCCACATCACTAGTGATGCTCATAATATGTGGGCCCCACCCAGAAAATTACTTTGGCTGGCCCCAAGCCTTCAGAACCATGTAATGAGTACTGCTGAAGCACTCCCTTCATGGTCCAAGTTCCCACTGCACAGAGGGAGATCACCTAATGATGCATTTGCTGTGTGCTAACTGGATGACCGTTCCCTGGTGTACCTAAGATGCAGGTAACAGGACCACAAAATAGGGACTCTTCCACCAAAGACATGACTGTACGGTTGGGAGGCCTGCAGTGTGTGTGTGTGTGTGTGTGTATATATGTATGTGTATAATTAAAATATATATATATATATATATATATATACTAAACAGATAAAGGGAGAACATTAGGTCTTCAGTGAAAAAATAAAGTTATTTAATGTATTATCATAAAATACATAGTCTGTGCATAACAAAAAATCAACATTTCGACCCTCCTGGGGTCTATATCAAGATCACAGTGACAGGTACAATCACAATGTATACATAAAGTAAAAGATATGCTTACCAATGAAGTAATCGGACAGGCAACAGACCGAAGAACCCGGAAGTGAAGACACCACGTGAAATCGCTCGTGTGACGTAGTTGCTAAGCAACCAAACGAAATTGTATAAACACGAGTTTAGCAATAGACCGGTGTATCAATAACCAATCGTGCCGGGTATGGCAAAATAGAGGAAAAATATATCAAATATCATAGCCCAAATTATGGAGAGTACTTCTAGTAGAAGAAAGTGACCAGTGAACATGTGTACAGTGAAAAATATCGTGAATAAACGAATGTGCCAATTATTAAATCTGTGAAAAAAATCTCTACACAATGAGGGCTACAGAAAAAGGAAGAAAACAAAAGGATTAACATATACTATACATAAGTGAGGGCTCTGTGGCCAAAATAAACCAAATATTAAGCCCTGTAATAAACACTTTTTTTTGCTATTTGAGCTTTTACAGTGGAGCTGGAACATATAGAATTATTAAGATCGCTATTAGTGATAAATGGAATTAGACATCACGACATAATATAGAGAAATATCTCTCAGCCCCACGGAGAAAAAGGAGGACAGAGGAGAATCAATACTATAAGGAGTATAAAGAACATCGAAACTACCACCAATATACTATTTAAAGAAACATCGAGAGAACTAAATTCTCATTCAGTCCCTTCGGAGTTACTGCATTTAGATAATGGATCCAGTAAGCTTCACGTTGTAGAAGTAATTTAAATCTATCACCCACTCTCGGTGAGACAGGAACATGATCAATAGCTATAAAACGGAGGGTAGGTAAATGATGTTGTGCCGCCAGGAAATGTTTAGCAACGGGTTTATCAGTTCTTTGATCTCTAAATACAGTTGTAATCCCGGAGCGATGCCCCCTGATCCGATCTCTCAATGTCATGTCAGTCTTCCCCACATATGAAAGTCCACACGGGCATACAATCATATATATAACATGTGTTGTCATACATGAAATATAGTGGTTAATTGGAATTCTTTTCCTGCTATGTGGGTGAGCAAATGTGGATCCTGTCAACATATGACTGCATGTTACGCAGCCAGTGCACTTATAACAACCTTTTTTCATTATGTTAGACGGTTTAGCGTAGCAATGACGTGGATCGTTTTTTACCAACAATGTTTATATATGGATTTCTTGATCAATGGAGTATCTGTATTAACCCCTTAAGGACTGGACCTTTTTTGCGATGTTGTACATTTGCGACCAGGCATATTTTTACACTTTTGTGGTGTTTGTGTTTGGCTGTAATTTTCCGCTCTCTCATTTACTGTTCCCATACAAATTATATATTGTTTTTTTCAGGACAAAAGGGGCTTTCTTTACATACCATTATTTATATAAACTCATGTATTTTAATTTAAAAAAAATAAAAAAATATGATGAAAAATTGAAAACAAATACATGTTTTTTTACTTTTACTTGAAAAATCTTTTACTCATCTACAAAAGCGAATGAAAAAAACTGCTAAATAGATTCAAAATTTTGTCCTGAGTTTAAAAATACCCAGTGTTTACGTGCTTTTTTGCTTTTTTTTGCATGTTATAGGGCTATAGGTACAAGTAGGATATTGTGGTTTCAAAACATACATTTTTAAAATTTATCAATAGTGACATTGTAACACTATTATCTGTCATAAATCTCTAAATAACACCCCACATGTACATATTTTTTTTAAAGTAGACAACCCAGGGTATTCAATATGGGGTATGTCCAGTCTTTTTTAGTAGCCACTTAGTCGAAAACACTGGCCAAAGTAAGCATTCATATTTGTTTGTGTGTGAAAAAAGTAAAAAAACTAAATTGAACGCTAATTTTGGCCAGTGTTTGTGACTAAGTGGTTACTAAAAAAGACTGGACATACCCCATTTGCAATACCTTGGGTTGTCTTCTTTTGCAAATGGTATGCCATCATGGGGGTAATTCTCATTCCTGGGCTACCATACGCTCTCAAAGGCAACGTAACCAACCTGGCCATTTTCAATGTAAAAATATTTGACCCATATATTTGACCTTGTAACTTTCAAAAATGCTATAAAACCTGTACATGGGGGGTACTGTTTTACTCGGGAGACATCGCTGAACACAAATATTAGTGTTTAAAAACTGGAAAACGTATCGCAACAATTATATCATCAGTAAAAGTGCTGTTTGTGTGTGAAAAATGCAAAAAAAGTCATTTTCACTGACAATATCATCGCTGTGATATATTTTACTGTTTTGAATCACTAATATTTGTGTTCAGCGAAGTCTCCCGAGTAAAACAGTACCCCCCATGTACAGGTTTTAGGGTGTCGTAGAACGTTACAGGGTAAAATACAGTGCTAGCAAATTAAATTCTCTGGAATTTCGGCCTGGGTTGGCAGGCAGATCCCTCAAATTGCAATCAATAAAATTACTGAATTATGTAAAAATATTACATAAATACGCACGTAGAATTTAAATATATATGCATATTTATATATTTGAAGTCTACGTGTATATTTATATAATTATTTATGTAATTTTGTATATGGACATATGTATATTTAGTATTATTTTTATTTATTTATATATACATAGATATATATACAAATTCATTCTAAGTGTATTTTGATATAAATATATATATTAATTTTAAAATACAGTTAGAATAAAATTTCATATAGATATATAATTTTTTTAAATTTTTTATTTAAAAAAAATATTTAATTTAAATTACTTATTCTTTATATTTTATAATAATATATATACAATATATAGTTATTATATATTATATATATACGTGTGTAATTTAATTCTAAGTGTATTTTTATATTAATATAAGTACATATTAATATAAAAATACACTTAGTATGGCATTATATAGATATATGTCTATATATCATATATACACATATATAATTTTTTTTTTTATTAACATTAACTTTATTTTATTTTTGACTTTACACTAGCAGGGAGACACATGGACACCTATTGTGACCATGTGATCACTGTGTTGAGCGATCACATGGCCACAGGGTGGGGAGACTGTCTGGGCTGCAGGCAGTCTCCCCACAACCGGAGCCACGCTGATCGCCGCTGGGGGAACGACGGTGATCAGGTAAGTACCTCTGACCATTAGGACGGTCCTGAACCGTCCTCTGTCGCGAAGGGGTTAAATGTAAGTGGAAGAAAAATATTTTTATTTTTATTCAAACTGGGATTCACCTTATTTATTTCATTGAATTTATTCCAAGCTTTCTTTTTTGCATTCACAAGAATCCGAGGGTGGAAACCTCTTGCTAAAAAACAGTCCCAAATTTCTTGTAGCTGATGCTCGCGTTTAACCGCGTTGCTATTATACCTTAAAATGCGTAGAAACTGTGAAATGGGCAGTGAATCCTTTACATGTTGAGGATGAAAGCTTGTAGCAGATAATAGTGTTGCGATCGGTAGTTTTCCTTAACAAAGTAAATCCTAAATGGTTTCCTTCTCTATAAACAGTAACCTCAAGAAATTCAATATTGGTCTCATGCCAATTAAGCGTTAAAACTACAGGAAGTGGCAAAGTGTTAATGAATCATATCTTTAAGTGTAGTTATTGTGCCTTGCCAGATCATAAAGATATCATCTACATATCTTAAATATTTGATTATATGATGGTAATCAGGCAGAATGTATTTATTCTCAAACCAGTACATAAAACCATTGGCGTATGCTGGTGCCATGGCTGCCCCCATGGCAGTGCCAGAGGCTTGAAGATAGAATTGGTCTTCAAATTTAAAATAATTACAGGTTAGAGCTATGTTCAACCATTCCATCAAATATGGAATGTGAGGACCTTTGTACATATCATCATTTATCAAAATCTTTGATATGGCTTCAATGCCTTCTTTCCGAGGTATTATTGTGTAAAGGCTTTGAATATCCAATGTTGCCAAAATCCGTAAGATCTATATTTCGTATTTTATCAATAAAGTGTTGTGTGTCCCTTAAACACGTAGGGAGTTTTCTGATGCTCTTATTGATATTATAATCAATAAACTGAGCAATAGGCTCAATCAGTCCTTCTTTCGCAGACACTATTGGTCGACCTGGTGGATGTTCCAAATTTTTATGAATTTTTGGTAAGTTGTATTTAACTGGATGTTTTGGATGCTTCACAAATAGAAACTTAGCAGTGTTTTCATCTAAATAGCGATGTGACAGCCCTTCCTCAATTAGTTTTTCAATTTTCTTTTGAAACTTACTGACTGGGTCAAAAGTAAGTTTGAGATAAGTGGATTCATCATTTAGCTGTCGAGTAATTTCGTTTTTATAGTCCTCATATGTTTGTATAACAACTGCACCACCTTTGTCAGCTGGTTGTATTATTATAATAGGGTCTTTCATGAGGTCCCTTAAAGCTATATGTTCATCCTTGGACAGGTTGTCCCTATGAAAAGGTTGTGCAGACATCATGGAGTTTACTTCGTGGCGTAGAATTTGCATAAACGTCTTAATTGAAGGATTAGGTGTATGTATGTCCTTATTTCGACTTGGAAACACATGTACATTAGTGGAAGTCTCCTCCTTTCTTACTTCGTTGCTATACAACGTTCTTTGCAATTTATACAAGTCAATAGCCATCTCAAATTTCTTAGGTTTGGCGACAGGTATAAATTTAAGTCCTTTTTGTAACACAGAGAGGTGGTTATGGTCCAAAGTCTTTTTTGACAAATTAAAGATAGATATCTCCGTTGCCTGGGAGGTTTTCCCATGATTCTTGTATTTCTTTTGACCCATTTGTCCACGCCTTAGGTGTCTCTTGTGTCTCTTATGTCTCTTATGTCTTGTATGTCTTGTACAGTGGTGCTGGTCATCCGTGGTGGATCGTTTGGATGTTGTCCTTCCTTTAAAAAAGTAACTTGTTTTCTAGCATGTAAATCATCCCTGATGTCTCCCTCTGAGGCTGATTCGCCTGAACTTATATCCACAGTTTGTAGCAATGGCTTTCTAATACGTGTTCAGATTCGAATGTACGTAACCCTATTCCAAGATTCAGATCCACTTAACCAGCGATAAACCTGATGATATTTATAATCGTGGTTTATCTTCTCTACCTTGATTTATTTGGAAGTGGATAAGATCATTTTGATACTTCTGTATGTCATCTTGTAGTTTTAGCATGAATTCAGTGGATGTCAATGATTGTAGGACTGTAACATGAGTAAGTTCAAAATTCTGTATTGATTTTTTAACCTGAATTAATTCCCTTCCAACCTCCTCAATTACCATCCAATCAAGTGAGCATTTGTTGGAAATATTCATCCATTTTTTACAAAAGTCAGGGTTCTGCCTCTCTAAAGTTGGAGCATTTTTTATACGAAAACCCCTCGGAATTCGTTTTGATCTGTAATAGTCTGAGAGAGAGACTCCATGTAGATCTAAATCCACTTCTCGCTTTTTGAGTCTGGATAAGTCGTTATATAGATCTTTTGCTGTATGAGTATGTGGTAGATCTTGCGAACTACGTGGCCATAATACAGACAAAGCTTTTTCTTCTGTGATGGAGAGAGTTTCCGTTGTCTCCACTAATGCTCCGGCTCGATCCAAAAAATCCTCCATAATGAAAAAATTCTGATAGCTGAGCAAATCACAATTTAGGCAATAACCCTTGTACTTGTCAATGGGGGTGCTCAAGCAAGTGCCACACCAGCACTTCTAATATATCCAAGGGCACTTGTCCCTTGCAAAATATTAATAAAAGAATAAATGCCTAGGTGCCAATACCGCGTTATGTATACTAAAAAACAGATAAAGGGAGCACACTAGGTCTTCAGTGAAAAAATAGTTATTTAATGTATTATCAAAAAATATATAGTCTGTGCATAACAAAAAAAATCAACGTTTCGACCCTCCTGCGGTCTTTATCAAGATCACAGTGACAGGTACAAACAATCACAATGTATACATGAAGTAATCGGACAGCCAACAGACTGAAGAACCCGGAAGTGAAAACAAGCCGTGAAATCTTGCGTAAGACATACGTGACGTAGTTGTTAAGCAACCGAACAAAATTGTATAAACACCAGTTTAAACACCAATTCTATCTGCAAACCTCTGGCACTGCCATGGGGGCAGCCATGGCACCAGCATACGCCAATGGCTTTATGTACTGGTTTGAGAATAAATACATTCTACCTGATTACCAACATCATATAATCAAATATTTAAGATATGTAGATGATATCTTTATGATCTGGCAAGGCACGATAACTACACTTAAAGATATGATTCATTATATTAACACTTTACCACTTCCTGTAGTTTTAACGCTTAATTGGCATGAGACCAATATTGAGTTTCTTGATGTTACTGTTTATAGAGAAGGAAACCATTTAGGATTTACTTTGTTTTGGAAAACTATCGATCACAACACTTTATTATCTGCTACAAGCTTTCATCCTCAACATGTAAAGGATTCACTGCCCATTTCAGTTTCTACGAGTTTTAAGGTATAATAGCAACGCGGTTAAACGCGAGCATCCGCTACAAGAAATTTGGGACTGTTTTTTAGCAAGAGGTTTCCACCCTTGGATTCTTGTGAATGCAAAAAGAAAGCTTGGAATAAATTCTATGAAATAAATAAGGTGAATCCCAGTTTGAAAAAATATTTTTTTTCCACTTACATTTAATACAGCTACTCCATTGATCAAGAAATCAATATATAAACATTGGAATATATTTCAGATTGATCAGTTTTCCGGATAGGTTTAAACTTAATCCAATTATCAGCTATAGACGTAATTGTAACCTGAGGGACTTGTTGGTAAAAAACGATCCACGTCATTGCTATGCTAAACCATCTAACATAAAGAAAAAAGGTTGCTATAAGTGCACTGGCTGCGTAACATGCAGTCATATGTTGACCGGATCCACATTGAGAGATCGGATCAGGGGGCATTGCTCCGGCATTACAACTGCATTTAGAGATCAAATAACTGATAAACCCGTTGCTAAACATTTCCTGGCGGCACAACATCATTTACCTACCCTCCGTTTTATAGCTATTGATCATGTTCCTGTCTCACCGAGAGGGGGTGATGGATCTAAATTACTTCTACAACGTGAAGCTTACTGGATCCATTATCTAAATACAGTAACTCCGAAGGGACTGAATGAGAATTTAGTTTTCTCGATGTTTCTTTAAATAGTATATTGGTGGTAGTTTCGATGTTCTTTATACTCCTTATAGTATTGATTGACAAGTTGGTTATTCTTTTCTTCTCCTCTGTCCTCCTTTTTCTCCGTGGGGCTGAGAGATATTTCTCTATATTATGTCGTGATGTCTAATTCCATTTATCACTAATAGCGATCTTAATAATTCTATATGTTCCGGCTCCACTGTAAAAGCTCAAATAGCAAAAAAAAAGTGTTTGTTTATTACAGGGCTTAATATTTGGTTTATGTTGGCCACAGAGCCCTCACTTATGTATAGTATATGTTAATCCTTTTGTTTTCTTCTTTTTTCTGTAGCCCTCATTGTGTAGAGATTTTTTTCACAGATTTAATAATTGGCACATTCATTTATTCACGATATTTTTCACTGTACACATGTTCACTGGTCACTTTCTTCTACTAGAAGTACTCTCCATAATTTGGGCTATGATATTTGATATATTTTTCCTCTATTTTGCCATACCCGGCACGTTTGTTTATTCATACACAGGTCTATTGCTAAACTCGTGTTTATACAATTTCGTTTGGTTGCTTAGCAACTACATCACGTATGTCATACGCACGATTTCATGTGGTGTCTTCACTTCTGGGTTCTTCAGTCTGTTGGCTGTCCGATTACTTCATTGGTAAGCGTATCTTTTACTTTATGTATACATTGTGATTGTTTGTACCTGTCACTGTGATCTTGATAAAGACCCCAGGAGGGTCGAAATGTTGATTTTTTTTTTTTTTTTTTTTTTTTTTTTTTTTTTTTTTTTTTGTTATGCACAGACTATGTATTTTTTGATAATACATTAAATAACTTTATTTTTTCACTGAAGACCTAGTGTGCTACCTTTATCTGTTTTTTAGTATACATAACACGGTATTGGCACCTAGGCATTTATTCTTTTGTTGTTAATATTTTGCAAGGGACAAGTGCCCTGCTACCTTATTTGTTGGATATATATATATTTTAGCTCTAAATACAAATACACACCAGTCAATCCATAAGACTTGCTTTTCCCACAGAAATCTCACTTTAACAATGCTCTTCTCACTACTGCAAGGGATTCTGGGTAGGCATATGCAAATGAGCTCTACAAAGAACCACATGTTTGCCTCAAAATTCCAATGTATACATGGATACCTTGGAGTATGTCTGCTGTATACAACAGCATTGAAACACAACTCATGAAGAGGGATATACATACAGATAACCTGGTGATAAGGCATGAAATGCCTTATACAAGACCTTACTCCATCTAGTAAACGGAGTCAAACGTATTCAATTATTTTTAAATAACTTTTTTTTTGTCTTTTCTACAGCCATCATCTCCCATCCCCAGGAATAAGCATAACTTTAATACCCTATGCTTTCTTTTTCATCATAGAAGAAACTGTACACCTCAAGTTCTGGAATTATCAATGCCCAACATAATTGACCAGTACCTTGTGCCAACATATAGAAGCAGAAAAGACATGTCATCAATAGCCCACTCCAGTGCAATCCCTATGAACAACATGCTAGGGCCAAAATATGCAACATGAGTGCCTGTATGCATGGGTAGTTATGACTGATTATATATTTAGGCTCAAATAGTAATGTTAAAGAAAATGTTACGGATTTTAATCCAATATATTTAAGATAGGAGCTGCACTCAACAAAGACCTTTTGGCAGGTCGAAACGTTGCTGCTCTTTTTTGTTCCATTAAATCTGCCTACGACTTGAACACCTTGAGTGCCTGGAGATTTTCTTTTTGTTTTTTTAATCCAATTTTCTGCATTTATTTAGCAAATATAGTCTGAGCTCGTCACAGCTAGTTGTTCAGTCAATAGACCCTTGATTGATTCTAGTGACATGACTTATGTAATTCATCCAAAGTTAAAGTAATTCAGATTTTTGCATGTTTGGTTTTCTGGCATGACAAAATGCTGCTCTAAATTGAACATTTTACTAGGGATCTCTTTATTTCAATTAAGCATTATGAACTCTAAAAGCAACTTTGTGCTCAAGTATGCTGCTTTTTGACATGAATAAAATTATGATTGCTTATAAATATAGCATGCTCTGTTAATTTTCTTCACCATGAAAAACCCATTGACTTTTTTTCTTATATACAACAAATTCAATCGACCCTGTCAGCATGTGATAATAATAAATCCGTAATGGCAAATGTTATTTCTTCACCTTACCAGTTTTAATTATCAAATGTAATTGCCAACAGAGCTATGAACCATATGAGAATGAAACCCTCCATGACCGCTCTCTGTAACAAGATGTGAAACTTAGAATCAATATGTCACTTGGAGACCACATGTATTTCAGGAAAGTGCATTGAAAAAACAAGTTCCATTAGGTGCAAAGGTTAGATGTCTATTAACATCCTTCTTGCTTCAAGATTAAGAGCACAGAAATCACATATGGTGTGGAAAAGGATTTTGTTTCCATTTGTCACAATCAGAGATTATAGGATCATGAATTGAGGCTGTTCCTTAAATGTCATTTGTAAAGTTATTGCCTCTATTAAAATATACATATTTTTTTCACAGAACAAAAATATCATAACCAATAAGTTGTATTATTGCTGTTGGCCAAACTCCTTCATACCAGAAAGATCAACTAAGGAGAAATGGTGCTGCTTAGCTTAAAGTACATCGTTCTGCAAAATAAACATTTGTATTAAACTATAAAGATTTGAGTATGCAAAAAAGGAGACTAAAATCTATCAAATGCATTAATGTTCTATTGAACCCTTTAACTGTGGAAGAGGAGTGTGATTAAGTTCAAGCCCCTTGTACGTGAAACACGTACATAGCTTTGCATTAGCCTCCAAAATATCTTGCCTATCTTCACAGGTACATTATATTTTTGCAGGAAAGTATAGCAAGTGTAGTGACATCTAGGAGCACTTGGCATATTTGTGAAATTGACATCTTAGAGGATAAGCCCTGTATGTAGAGGTTCAAGTTTTATCTTAAAGGATGATGCAATTGTAAAATGCATAACGTTTAATGAAGGATCATTTGATTTCCCTTGGGCAATATACAGTATAAAGTGAAAATATCTGTTTTGGAAACAATTCTGTCCTCAATTGTTATACATATGTTAAGTGGTTGGACTACCTGCTTACAGTTTAGCTATATTTTCATTAGCTGAAATGCTATAAGCAAAGCAATTATTCTAGAGGTATGAATTTCCTGTTGTAAGGTGAGACATTGCACACCACAGGAGGTAGGAGGGATAAAGTAACTAGCATGTTATAGATGCAACCTCAACCACTGCATTTGTTGCAGCTTTAATGACACCATAAATAAATAAATTGGGAGTGGGGGAGAGGGGGATGGCATTTCATGAAGATGGGCCTTATAGTTTGCAGAATCAAATATGTGGCAAAAGTCTGAT